CGACAAAACAAGTCTGCACCTCTTAAGTCTCTGTCTGGTGAAACAATTACTGACAGAGAGAAGCAGATGGAAAGGTGGCTTGAACACTACTCTGAACTGTATTCAAGGGAAAATACCATCAACGAGTCAGCATTGGACAGCATTGATACACTGTCTGTCCTGTGGGACTTGGATGCAGCACCAACACTAGAGGAGGTGAGCAAAGCCATTGACAGTCTGCGCTCTGGGAAAGCACCTGGTATGGACGGTATTCCACCTGAGGTCATTAAGAGTGCTAAAGGCGTACTACTGCCTGAACTGCATGACTTGCTGTGTCAGTGTTGGGAGGAGGGAGAGATTCCACAGGACATGAAGGACTCTAACATAATCACATTGTACAAAACCAAAGGAGATAGAAGTGACTGTAATAATTACCGTGGAATCTCCTTACTCAGCATTGTGGGGAAAATCTTTGCACGAGTGGTTCTGGGACGACTGCAGAGACTCGCTGACAGGGTATACCCTGAGTCCCAATGCGGTTTCAGGTCGGAACGCTCCACCATTGATATGATTTTCTCGCTCCGACAACTACAAGAAAATGCAGAGAGCAGAGACAACCTCTCTTTATTGCGTTCATAGACCTCACTTAAAGGCCTTTGATCTCGTGAGCAGAGATGGCCTATTCAAGATTCTTGCCAAGATCGGATGTCCCCCTAAACTTCTCAGAATGATCCAGTCCTTCCACACAGGCATGAAAGGAGTCGTCCAGTTTGACGGATCCTCTTCTGAAGCCTTTGACATCCGCAGTGGGGTAAAGCAGGGCTGCGTACTGGCTCCAACCTTGTTTGGCATTTTCTTTGCAGTCATGCTGAAATGTGCATTTGGTACATCAACTGAGGGAGTCTACCTCCACACCAGATCAGATGGAAAGCTTTTCAACTTGTCCAGACTAAAAGCCAAAACCAAAGTACGAGAAGTACTTATCAGAGACCTGCTATTTGCAGACGACGCTGCACTTGCAGCCCACACTGAGAACAAGCTACAGATACTGTTGGACAAACTCTCGTGTGCCTGTCAGGATTTTAGTCTGACGATAAGCTTAAAGAAAACAAAAGTGATGTGCCAGGGAGTCGATCACCCCCATCAATAACTATTAACAACTATGAGCTGGAGGTTGTGCCCAAGTTTACCTACCTAGGCTCCACCGTGACTAACAACCTCTCACTAGAAGCTGAACTAAATGGCAGAATAGGGCGAGCAGCAACCACCTTCGCCAGGCTACAGAAGAGAGTCTGGGGTAATCAGAAGCTCACAATTCACACAAAGATTGCTGTATATAGAGCATGTGTCCTCAGTGTTCTGCTTTATGGCAGCGAAACATGGTCCCTGTATTCAAGCCAGGAAAAGAAGCTTAACACATTTCACATGCGTAGTTTACGTAGAATCCTAAATATTAAATGGAATGACTATGTAACCAATGTAGATGTCCTCACACGTGCTAGTATCCCTAGTATGTACACACTGCTGAAACAGCGCCGACTCCGTTGGCTTGGACATGTGTGCCGCATGCCTGATGGGAGAATACCAAAGGACTTGTTGTATAGTGAACTGGCAAGTGGGACAAGAGCACGCGGTCGTCCGCACCTGCGTTTTAAGGATGTAGTTAAGCGGGACATGAAGGACATGGACATAGACATTAACACATGGGAGACTCTTACAACAAGCAGAACACTTTGGAGACAGACAGTTAAGAAGGGATTACAACGGGGGGAAGAAAAACAGAGACTCAAATCAGAACACAGACGCCTTAAGCGTAAAGCAAAAACAAATAAGTACATGATGTAGAAGATGATTCTTCTTCATGGTCCTACGAGACCGATGAAATGCCTACTACGTCAAAAACGTGTAAACGGGTTTCGTAAATTTTGGAAAATAATTCCCCAAAGTTAAATTTCTGGTCATGTTTCTTGCAGAGGAATCAGCAGCAAGAGAAGCAGTGCAGCAGTCTGATGTGTCGTCAAGCGGACAGTCTCTTCTGCCCAGTAATGTGCTGGGCAATCTACTCTTAGAGGTAAGGGTTACTTTAACTGCAAATTGGATGCTACCTTACAGCCCACAAATATATTGCTTTTAGACATTTAGATAAAGGGGAAAACAGATAGCACAGTGGAAAACCAAGGCTCAGTTTTTTTATTCATTATTTTGTTCTTTCAGTTAGGCATTGTTATTTTTTATCAATCTCCCCAATCCGTAATTCATAAATGTTTTAAAGCTGCAATGTATAACATTATGATGATGCAAGAAGTCAATTTTCTGTACATTTCTTTACAAAGTACAAAGTACATTGAATCAATCCTCTATTGCAAATAAGTATCAGTCAGGCATGGGAGGTGCCCAAATATTTTCACCATACAAGTGTGTTTAAAGGTTAAAAACACAGCTTTTAGTCATGTTTGTTTACATTCTTGGTATTTTGTGGTGGTGCCACAAAATCAGTGGGCAGTTTTAATGCCAACAATAAATGTCACAAATGTGGAACAATAGCACAGATATGTTGAAAAGAGTATATAAGTAAATGACAATCACAATATGGAGATTATTTCAGTTTAAAAAAAATTCAATTTTTGGTGCAAAAATGTTACATAATGCCCCTTTAACACTACTAATTGATCTAACCATTCTACTTTTATACAGGCGCTGAACGGGTTCCTATTTGTGGTGAACAGCCAGGGCAAGTTGGAGTTCATCTCTAACAATGTACAGAACTACCTGAGCTACACACATGATGAACTGATGGGCTCCAGTGTGTATAACATCATCCATGTAGGAGACCACACACAGTTTGTCAACTGTCTACTCCCCATGTCCCTCGGTAAGGCTTCATGTTGAAGAATTATGTTTACCTCAAGGAAGGGAAACATATTGTTTTCAGTCAGTTTTTGGCGATGCCTCAGGGGCGGAGGCATTTTTTTCTTCTGAGACGCTGATGGAGCAGTCATTATGATTACTGGTGGTGTTATATATCACCATTTAGCAAGGTGGCTTCAGGCTTTATTAATATGATATACAAATGCATTTGAGTAAGAATAAACATAATTGTGTTAACCGAAGGAAAACATATTGTTTTTGCTCTGTTTCCTCTTCTTCTTCACCAAACAAATAAGGTAAATGACCTGAACCAGACGTATGTCACCATGGTAACTTGTGTTAGGTTACATCATGTTGTAATTTTATAGCAGGAGGGATTTAGACTCTAGTCTGACCATATTAATGTGTTTGAGTAAAAATTGACATAACAACTAGTACTGCAAGGTTTAAGTAGTGCTATGTGTATTTACAAATTTTTGCATTGTGAGAGTATTTTTTCCTTTCCCTTTGCAGGTAATGGCGTGGGTTGGGGAGCGGACGCCACGGGAAAGAAGTGTCGTTCGTTCCAGTGTCGCATGATGGTGAAGCTGGAACCAGAAGAAGACATGGAGAAACATCGCACACAGACGCCACAGTACAAGACCATGCAGTGCTCCGCTGTCTACCATCCACACCCCACTAAAGGGAAAACTGAGGACGGCAATGATGGTGAGTCTGAAGAAGTGTTGTTCATTTTAGTGTCACATTGTTGTTCCAATTTCTTTGTGGGATCCTCTGGCACAATGGCAGAGTGCTTGACTCTGAACCAAGAGGTCCCGAGTTCGAATCCTGCCATGCTACCAATCTTGTGCCCTTGGAAAAGGCACTGAACACAAATTTCCTCACTTAACTCAGGTGAAAATGAGTATGTCTATTGTCTGTTCGTGTGTTTGTCTTTTGTGTTGGTCATGGCATAATAGTAAGTTGAAAAAGTGTGTTGTCACCATGTGATGTGAGAAATGTTGGGATAAAAAAAGTCTACCAGGACTGGGATTGTGTGGCATAATGGGTCCTGGATTCAAATCCACCACTATGGACCTATGTTGCACCATTGGGAAAGGCACTTGACAAAGTGGCAAGGTGGTTTAGTGGATAGGGATGTTGACACAGTATCCAATGGTTCTGGGTTCGAATCCCTAGGAGGGCTCTATGTTGTGCCCTTGGGAGTGGTACAAATGCTATCCCTGTCCCTAGTACTGAAATGCTGTCCCTAGTATTGAAATGCTATCCCTGTCTCTAGTGCTGAAAAACTATCCCTGTCTCTAGTACTGAAATGTTATTACTGTCCCTAGTACTGAAATGCCATCCCTGTCCCTAGTACTGAAATACTATCCCTGTCCCTAGTACTGAAATGCTGTCCCTAGTATTGAAATGCTATCCCTGTCCCTAGTACTGAAATGCTGTCCCTAGTATTGAAATGCTATCCCTGTCCCTAGTACTGAAATGCTATCCCTGTCCCTAGTACTGAAATACTATCCCTGCCTAGTACTGAAATGCTATCCCTGTCCCTGTCCCTAGCACTGAAATACTATCCCCGTCCCTAGTACTGAAATGCTATCCCTGTCCCTAGCACTGAAATGCTACCCCTGCCTAGCACTGAAATGCTATTCCTGTCCCTAGTACTGAAATGCAATCCCTGCCTAGTACTGAAATGCTATCCCTGTCCCTAGCACTGAAATGCTATCCCTGCCTAGCACTGAAATGCTATCCCTGTCCCTAGTACTGAAATGCAATCCCTGCCTAGTACTGAAATGCTATCCCTGTCTCTAGTACTGAAATGCTATCCCTGTCCCTAGTACTGAAATACTATCCCTGTCCCTAGTACTGAAATGCTATCCCTGTCCCTAGTACTGAAATGCTATCCCTGTCCCTAGTACTGAAATACTATCCCTGTCTCTAGTACTGAAATACTATCCCTGCCTAGTACTGAAATGCTATCCCTGCATAGTATTGAAATGCTATCCCTGTCAGTAGTACTGAACTGATATCAGGAAAGAGACTGTTATCTTGTATGTTTTCTGAAGTGATAAGTCAATCCATCCACAAATGTCAATGTCTTATGGCTATATGATAATCTGTGATATTCCTGTTTAGTTCCAGAAGCATGTCTGGTATGCATTGCCAGTAAAGTGGCGGAATCAACCGACGTGGAAGCAGTCATGCCGCTAGAACAGTTCTCCACGCGACAGGACATCAACGGTAAAATCCTCGCGGTGGACACCAGCGGACTCAGCACGTCCGTACCGCACGGGGAAATCGTTCGGCGCTGTCTCACGGAGCTGTACAAGGACTGCGAAGCCTGGGTCATGTCCAAACACCACAAAGAAGGTGGGAACTACTTTCATTGTCTTTTTGTCAACCAGGGATTTTTGTCTTAAGTTCCTACACTGTCTTGGTGTATTGGGTAGTGACCATCACTGTTTCTAAAGCCCTTGGGCCACATCAGTCTTCTAGCAGCCTGGACTTTTTTCTGTCATGTCAATTTTGTTTGATGTAAACAAGGACAGTCCCTTTATGATGACTGTACTTGACAAAACATCATTTTGAGCACTGAAGGTGCAACAAGAAAGTGCAGAAATCTTGACCCTCTGAAATGCTATTTTCTGCATTTTGAGGGCCAAATTTTGGTTTAGACTAAACTTAGTGTAATGAAATCTTTTTCCATATCTTTACACACTGTTTTTGTCCGTCAAAGATGACAGATTGATTAAACTTTTTGTTCTTCATGAGAGGTAAAATTCTGTCAAATGAGGGAAAGAGGGATGCTGGCTAGAACACTGGGCCTGCGTATAGTTGTTGTTTTCCAAAGACAATAACTGGATAGTGAGTGAATGAGTGAGTCTTTAGATTATCTTAAAACAAGGAATAACCTTTATTTTATTTTAGTTTATGTGTGTATACGCACTCACCGGACAGATGGATCTGTATCAGGTATCAGAAAAGGTGCATTTTTGTTTTGTCTTAGACTAAAGCTTGCATGGAAGACTGTTCTGTATCTGTTTGCCATGCAATTAGTCTGGTGGTGGCTTGGCCAAATGAAAGAATCCTTGCTTATAGGAAATAGAGACAATACTATTTTTTTAAAGATCTTACTATGGTTGTTTTTTTTAGTTAAAAGTTATATTTCTTCTGATTTGGTGTATAGAGCTGTGCCTGTCTCTGTTTGTAAAGCCCTTGGCCCACACAGTTGTTGCTTTTCAAAGATATAAGCCCCTGTCACCACACATTTTGGCCGATGTTCAGGAGTAGTCTGACCTCATTTAGGTCACTTCTAAAGTTTCTATATGAATCCAGTTGAAATTGAGTTAACTTTAAGTCAAATTTGAACCCTGAAGACTGCTGACTTACTCTCGAACACCAGCCAACCACAGCTAAACCTCCCGTCCACCCCCAAATGTTTTTTTTAACATTTTGAAACATTTGGCTGGTGCAGCAGAACTGTAGCCAACTAGGCCGAACACCAGCCAAACATAGCTGGCCTTGCTTCCGACCTACTCCTATAGCTATAGAGACTAGTTAAACCTTTAATTTTGTGGCTGACATATATTCTACACACAGCTTGCTGCATACATGTACAGTTATATTCTATACGTAAGATGACTTAAGTTTTGTTTGATCTAAGTTGTAGTAGACCATACAAAAGTCCCTGTACCTTTGTCGAGTCAATGAGTCAAGTTTTCAAAGTCAGGTATATTTGATTTTTGCTGCGTCTATAGTTGTGTTGACACAGCATTACATGCCGCATGGGTGATTTATTTGTGACATTAGACAAAAGTAGTACTGTATTAAAGGTGTTATATTAAGGCTAACGCTACACAAACACGCACCCCTGTACAATATAAACGTTGATTGACCGGCATTCATTGCGGTAAACAAACTGTGACGTAATACTGCAATAGGTGCATTGCTGTCATCTGCTTAACACGCCATCTTCTGTCCTTACAGTAATGGCATGTGGCACAGCTACAAGTCAGATCTACAAGTTCCAGCTCCCGGGAGGTAACTGGGTCCACGCACAGACCAAGAGCAAGTTGTTCCGAAACCCTGAGACCAAGGAGCCACAGTACATCATGTCTATGTACTCTCTCATCAGGTGAACGTTTGTTTGTTTGTTTGTTTGTTTGTTTGTTTTATTAGGATCTCCAGTAGTGTTACATAAATTTCACACAATTCTCCTGGAGTCCACAAGGGTGATGTGGCAAATCGTGGGGGTTCACCAGGCATCCATCCGGGTGATTTGTACTGAATCACCAACTTCCAATATTTCGAAGTTGGTGATTCACAAAATTTTTGTCAATATGATTAGAATACAGAGCATTTTATGTGGTCCAACAGCTATAAAATCTACACTGACAACAGACAATCAAAATTTGAGTCAAGTACATTGTTAACATCTACAATCCTTCAAGTTAGTGCACTGTACAGATTCTGAAATTGTCACAATGCCATTCTACTTGGTACATGCATTATGATCAAACAAAGTGAATACTTACATTGATGTAGAAATATAGTACATCCTTTTTAACAACAAGCATGTAACAAGACATTCTAAACAAAATCTGTCCAAATTTTGAGGAAAAAAATTGACTTTTCATATTATTTTGTCCACAGAGACAGCAATGTTCCCAATGTGCCTGTGCAAGGGACCATGACTGACTGCATCCTTCAGTCCATCCTGGGTTCCTCCAGTTACATCCCTGGACTGTCCTCCACATCCCAACCGTCTGTTACCATGCCGACCAACACCAGCAGCCAAACCATCAGCAACCTGCTCAGTGCTATGTCAGGTATGGGTTAAACATTTTTCAATTTCTTTATTGCACTATTTCAAATGTACATCAGCAGGGGGAGAATAACACTACCCCCTGATCATGAATTGAGTACCATTTGTCACATTAAAAAAAATTGAGGGACAATACACGGACATCTAAATAAGGTATAAGACATATACAAAGTAATTAAAATGTACACAATATCCATGCTGATTGCATCCAGTCAAGTCGGGTTCAGTTTATATTGAAGGAGAGTTACAATGTATAATTGTAAAGTCTGATGGCGCAATACATGAAAGACTGCTGCAGTCATTTGGAAGCACTGCTGCAGAGTTTGCTCTTTGCTACACTCAAGAAGGTTTTATTTTATGTCTTTGTTTCAGGATTATTATTATGCATTGTAATAACTTTATCTTGATGACTGTTGTTCATGGTCTTTTTGTAGTCTTTTATTTTATATAATTGTATAGTATTCATGGAACTTTTGAAGCCAGGATTCTTTCCTGTTGGGGAAAAACAAGGATTCAGGAAAACACAGCTCAAGGTATATTCAATTTTGCCAAACACTTGTACCAGTAAGTTGATGAATAAAAAGTATAGAAGGTTATGAATTAATTTTTATCTGTTTTTACTTCCCCTTTCAGGTAAAGCTATGAGTGAGGTTGTGGAAAGCGACAAGCCGCCCCAGTCTAAACTGATGCTACAGATGCTGATGAAGTCACCCAAGGGTTCTGAGCAGACCCAGCCAATCACGTCCTGCACAGAAGACGTCATTGCCACGGAGACGGTGGAACGTCCGAAACCCACATGCACAGCCTCCGTCGCACCTTCGTCCCCTCCCGTACTAGAGAAGGAACCAGCCCCAGTGGAGGAGGAGGAGAAGAAGGAAGAGGAAGAAAAGTCACCAAAGAGCGTTGAAGTGCCTACGTCAGGTCCGGAGAAGACAGCGACAACGACGGAGAGCAGCCCGCCGAAGTCTAGTCCCGCCGGGAGCTCGCTCACCGTGTGGAGCAACCTCTTCAAGGGCCACCTGCCGCTGTCCAGCCAGCAGGAGATGGTGGTGGGCGTGCTGCACCAGCTTCATTCACGCATGCGGAACGTGGACAAAATGAAGCAGCAGCAGCAGCAGGAGTCCCTGGCGTCCATGTCCAGGAAGTCTCACGACATCTCGCGCCACCCCCGCCTGCACAGACTGCTCACCCAGGAGCTGAGCAGACCGGGTTCTTGTGCTGACCTCTCCATGTTTGAGAGCGAAACGGTATCCAGCTCTTGTGGGGACATCCCCAACGAGGTGTTCACGAGGGAAGACAGTCGGGAGTCCGAGTCAAACGACAGCCGCGGTGGTGGGGACGCAACTCTCCTCCACAAGCTGCTGGAAACCAGACCATCCATGCCAAGCCCAGAGTTGGAGATCCCCACAACGTCTCTAGCCAGTGGCACAACTACCACCACCACGGTTACAACGCAGTCTGTGTCGACTATTGCCAGCCCTGCGGCTACCATGTCCACTTGGAGCACAGCACGGTCGGGACAGCAAGTTGCTGTCGTGCTGCCCGAGCAGCGCCATCCTCAGATGGACAGCTGGCAGCAGGAGAAAGAACACAGCAAACCTAACAGGGAGAAGGCTGGCCCACACAAGCCCATGCTCATGGGAAAGAACTCCTTCTCAGAGGAGCAGAACGTTTCTGTAGACAGCACAAGTTGTGACGGCATGTCGAAAAACGTGTCGAAAACGGGGAAGACCGTTGCCGGACACACAGCGAGCAAAGGGAAAGGACTTCAAATGACAGCGCCGAACAGTAGACAACATGGTGAAATGTCGGGGGCCCTGAGGCCGCCCAACTGTCCAAACGTGAGCCCAACAGGTCTGGTTCCATCCGCCAAGGGAGTGGAGCCGACTGTTCAAAGCTTGAATCAAGGCAATACAGCAACTCCGGTCGGTGAGGATGAATTGACAGATGCTGCATTAGAGACGCCATTGCTACGACAGCTGCTTAGTACTGACAAGCGAGGTGAGAATGACTCCGGACTGAGCCCTGAGGAGAGAGAAAGACAGCGGAAGGAAATACTTCTTGAGAAAATGCTCAAAGATGATGACTCTCCGAAGACCGGGGCTACCCTACCTGGTCAGCAAGCCACCGTCAGGATGGCTGACAGCACAAGCACAAACGAAGATCTAGAGAAGAAGGAGAAACAAGAGCAAGTCAATAAAATCTTACAGAATCTCCTAGCTGCTACCGGCAGTGCCCCACTAGACACCATGCCAAGCAACGTAGCGGATTGGGACGACGAAGCTCTTCTCGATCTTATAAAACAGGAGGGCGACAGCCTACTGAACAGTATACAGGGTGGTGGTACGGGTAGAGGTGCGGGTACGGATGTCACGTCGACGCAAGACACCATGCAGTTCCACACGGCTGGTGGAAACGTCGGGCATGTGTCCATCATGCCGTCTTCGTTCCCTCAAGCCGCTCTCCCAATCACCGCCACCGCGGGCGCCAACTTAAACCTCGGCATACTCGGCGCCTCCAACACCCCCCAAAGACTCAACCCTGACCCGCCAGGTTCGAAAGGACTCAACAACATGGGCGCTCCGGCAAGCGCGGGAAGTCTACAGAACAGCGAACAGGTCATCGCCGAGTTGGAGAGCCTTCTCGGTCTCCAAGGAAACAACAGTCTTCTTGGGACGCAGCAAAATCCGGGAGTGAATCGCTTTAACCAAATGGGCAGTTCCGTCATGGGGTGGTCCGAGCCTCCGCAAGGCGGCGACCTCGTCGCCCAGCTAGAAAGCGTACTGAAGAGCGACAGTTCTATTCTGTGTGAAATCGATCAGCTGCTTGGTATCGCGCCATCGGGCGGCGGTGTCCCAATGACACCCGGGACAGAAAGCGGAGACTTCTCCATGTTGGATGGCGGAATGGACGGTTTGCAGTCCTTCCCACAGTTGGGTCCAGGTAGTGACATGGGTGTCGGCCAGCCTGTCGTTGGACCAGGGATGGTCGGTCAGGACCAGGATCCCACCCAGATCCCCCTGTCTCCTGTCAGAGGCCTGCCACCCAAGCAAATGCCAAACATGGGCATGGTGAGTTTGTTGGATTTTGTTTGAACCTTAATTCTTTATTTATGAGACTGAAGCTCAAATTGAGGTCATGAAGAAGAGGTATGGGTCAGACAATCATAATTAATGCTTATTACTCTTGGTTCCTCTATTTCATTGGATTCATGGTTAGTAACACTCCACTCAGACAAGAATGTTTTTGCATTTCACTCCATACCACAGGGAGTGAAATATATTGTTTTTCCTGATCAGGTCACTCACGTTCTTTTTCTCCTGTGATTTTGTCAATTAGATTTAACTATTTCTAGTCTTAGCATGAATTTACAAGGAGGATGTTTAAGCTTGGTACTTACTAGCAGGGCACTTCAAGAATGTTGATGCTTCTTTCTAAATTGGTGGAGGTTTTTGCTCAGAAAGTGTTTTTTTCTTGTAGTCTAATTTAAGTTGATTATGCCATAATTCATCCTTACTTTATACAGCAGCCAAACAGAAGTCTGACCCAGGGCCAACCCAAGGTACCCAACACAACCTCATTCCCTGCTGGTGCCAGTCGACCCAGCATGCCACAGCAGCAGGCAATGGCGATGGCCAGGAACCAGGTAATGGTGAGAGACAATAATACATTGTAACTTGTCAGTGTCACAAAATTATGCCTTAAAATGTCATAATCTCGTAATTTATCACAGAATGATGCAATTTTTTTTTCATATCTTGTATAAGATTCTGTGTCGTACTGGGATGTACAAAATCTGTATTAGGAAAAAGATGTTGTGTTTCCTGTTTCCCAACTGACCCTAGAAAAAACTGCCAACTGTGGATAGACTTTAATGGACATAAATTTTTTGAGCTGATCAACCTTTTCTAGCTCCATGATCTGACACCTGAGTGATGAAATGTTTTCCAACATTGCTATTGAAAATAATATATTATTAAGTTTCCTCATGCAAGTTTTCTTTGTTAAACTGTATTATATAAGTTGAATTACTAGAGATTGCCAAAGTCTGAAAAAAAGAAAAAGATCATCCCTACCTATACCGATCCCTAATTTTTTCAGGACTGAAACAGAAAACACTTTTTCCTAGGCCTTAAAAATGAGTATCTGAACTGACATCCACCTTTTTCTTTTCTTTTTTGCAGAGCAACAGTCGTCCAATGATGCCTCACACGCAGCAGCAGCTGTACAACATGCTGCAGAGGAGACAGTCACAGCTGCTGCTGCAGCAGAGACAGCTGCAGGCCCGGCTGGCCGCAGCAGGCGGGAACTATCGCCTCCCCAACCTCAGTAACGAACAGCGCCTGCAGTTACAGAGGATCCAGTTACAGAGGAGGCAGGCACTGGCACAAGTACAGGCTCAGGCACAGGTCTGTACATGTACAATGTACACTTAAGTCTTGCATTTTGTAGATAAAAAGTTATTTACGTTATCATTATAGTAATTAATATTTGATTCACCAACTACAAAAGCATAGTGAGGGGTTTCTGTATCTGTGTTGACAGCCACTAAGTCTTGAAGAGTATGGTGTAAGGCCTAGGAAAAAAAATGTTGATGTGTGTTTCATGTTGCCTGACCAAACCTAGAAAAAAACTGCAGACCACACCAGCTTAAATGTTGGTATGTGAAACTGAATAGAGAAGGAATAATGAATTTATGTAGAAGACTGAAATTAGAAAATATGGAAGACAACATGCACCAATTCAAGGTGTTGGTTCTTGGATTTAAAAAAAATATGCTTAACTGAAAAACATGTACAAAACAAATAAAAAGCTGGAGGACCAGGTTGATACTTTTGCCCACTTAGTATTTCTGATGATGATGATGATGAGTATTTCTGAGTTAGTACAGTCTATTTTGCTCCTTGTCCTTTGTGTTTATGATTACACTTGATATGCTTTTATCCAAAAACCAAGAAATCCACTCTGCTTCATACTAGCCTACATTGTAAATAGAAATGAGAAAATAATTGCATCTAATGCGTATCTGATGGATGAAATTTCTATTGAATTTCTTCATTTTCCAGGGAATGGCATCCAATTCGTCAGCGGCTTCACACATGGCCGGTCGTCCCAACAACCCCCTGAACTTCCCCACCGGTGGGGGCGGAGTCAACTTTCCCCAGGGGGGTGGGGCAGGCATGAACATGGCCCAGCCTGGCAACGCCATCAATGTGCAACAGGCAGGGGGGGTTAACATCCCCCAGGGTGGGGGTATCAACCGTCCCCAGGGTGCAAATACTGCCCTGAACTTCCCCCAGGGTGTTAATAGCAGCATGAACCATCCCCAGGGTGGTAGTGGTGGTATTAACCTCCCCCAGGGGGTAAACGCAGGCATTAACCACTCGCAGGGCGTTAATAACAGCATTAACCACCCGCAGGGTGTCCAGAGCAACATGAGCTCACAGAGCTCAGTCTTCCCATCACAACAAGGTGGCAACATCAACCAAGGTGAGATTTTTACTTCTGTGTATGGAAGTTGTGTTTTGGGTGGATAAATTTGTGTGGGTTTGTGTGTCTGCTTGTCTAGAGTATACATGTATGTAGGTTTGCAATGTGTGGATGGGGGAAAATCAACAGGCAGAATGACAAGAGGGTGAAAAAGGGGAGACATTGGAAATGGTTCAGACTGGAAGCCAAGATTACATGAGTCTGAAATCTTTTTCTGTGTATTGTAAAATATGCCAGTTTTGCAATATTGCATTTGAAATAAACCTTAAAATCATGTAACATGAAGTTTTAAAGATACGGTGCCATTGCCGATGTAGAATATGTATTGTACAGTGACCAGTTTTTTATGATATATGGAATCCGATGCTTTTGTTTCCTTCTGTTTGATTTTTTGTGACTTTTTTTGTGATTTCTTGTTGATGTAGGTTTTCAAGCGAGAGCGGCCATGTCAGGGCAGCCCCCTCAGCAGCTGCGTGCCCGCATGGTACGGCCCGCAAACCTGTCAATCAACCAGCAGATGATGGGTTCCAACATCCGGGGTCAGAACGGGGGAGGCATGATGTCGCCCAACGCCATGACATCATTGGTCAGCATGACCCCTGGTCCCATCGTGTCGCCCAATCAGGTGGCTCCGCCCAACCAAATCTCGCCGTCGGCTCAACTGATGCCGCCCAAAACGATGTCAATGCAGTCGACCAATCCGATGCCGGGAAACCAAATGGGGCCGCCCTTGATGTCGCCCAACCAGATGACCCCAAGGTCAAGGACACCATCCAGCCCGGGGATGACATCACCCAACCTGATGACATCACCGAACCAGATGGTGCCACCCAATCAGATGGCAGGAAATCCTGTGACATCACAGGGGGGAATGGTTTCTTCTATGACACCTCGGATGCCTTATCGACAGGTAGTTTAGCTGTTATTTCTCTTTTTCGGATTACTTTAGATTTTAATCCTAAAGTTACCCAGATACCCAGACCCCCATGAGCTCAGCGCTACCTCTTCAGGGCTAGTAGCCTTTTTGACCGCCAAGCCAGGCCCCAATGACTGCACGCCGCGGGTAGCTTTTTGTAGACAGTATAGTTTCCTTGCTCACAAGCGTCGTGCGTAATAGAAGACTTGGCGTAATACAAGAAGTCAGCGGATACAGGGAAACCAGCTGGAGATAGGTCCGTGGAATAGCTCGCCTGTGCTTAGTAAAGGCCAGGGTAGGAAGATCACCCCCAAGCCGACCAAAGGTTTGGTACCCAGGCTATCCTAAAGTAGCTGTTTGGCTACCATTTCTGTTGGTTATAGGGTTTTGTACTGTGGTAGGGATGTTGAGTCATTCATAATTTGATACGGAAGAACAGTGACTTTGTCATGTACAATGTACATTGTGCTTAGATTTCAGTATGCAATGAAGGGCATTAAAGTTGACATACAAGAATCTGAAGCAGCCTCCTGTATAACCATCAAAACAAGAGGCTTTTTCATAAAATTTCTTTCTGACATGAAACATTTGAAAGTAGAGTATGAAGATATCAAGAATAGGATGACAACAAACATGCAAATAATATCACTTAAGGCTTTAGGTTGTTTGTTGTTGAGATTTCCAGTTTACTGCAGTGTATTTTCTTGTTAAAAAACAGATGGGCCCTACGGGGAGTTCCATGATGAAACAGCATCCATCCAACATGCACACCATCCAGCAAGGTATTTTTGTACTGTATTTTGTATTTATTAGAAATGAGATTATAGTGTTTCAGACAGTCAAGGTTTCACAATTTTGCCCCCAGAACTACTACGATTTGCACTTGAAAGATGTTTCATTTGTCAAACAAATTTCAGATGACAGTAAATTCAGGCTTGGTGAAAGACTAATTTTTTTTACATGTAAATTGTCCATGTAGGGAGTGGAATATGAATGAGATGTATTTTCTTCCAACCTTGCACCACAGGTGGATTTTCAGGCCCACATCAGTCCCAGATGGGCGGCCCGGTATCCCAGAATGCCTTGCCGGTACCCAGGATGCAGCAGCGTTCTGCGATGGGACAGCCCCGGATGGGTCAGACAGCCATGCCCGGGCTGGCACAGCTGTCCCCCAGGCGCGCTCAGGTTGCACAGGGGGTGGCCTTCTCTGTGCAAGATAGGAACCAGGACTTTCCACTGGTAAGAGAGAGGCCAGTATAGAAGATTACCTGTGTGTAAAAATTTTCAGTTCAGTTTTTATTCGCACTTTAAAATAAAATGTAACAATACAGATACAAGAAAATATAAATGAAATGTAACAGTGCAGGGAGGCCGGAAGCATAAAATGCTTATGAGGAGGCCTCCCTTCATAACGTGATTAACAATTCAAATAATTCGGATGAATAAGAAATAACTTAGGTAACGGGTAAATGAAACAAAACAATAAAATACAATACGATACAATACTAATTTGTAACTACAAATGTATTTACAAAGAAAAAACAATTCTTCTTTTAACTACCCAAAACCTACAAGTTTTGGAAAAGTTAGGACATTTCGTCTTCCATCATACAAAAACCCTTCAGACATACATTTGGTTTTAGACATAGTTTCAGACAATTACTTTTCATTATGTAGATTTTTAAGTTATTCAGTACTCTGTTTCAGTGTTCTTTTATCCTTGTTATTTGCAATTAGCCTTCAAGCATGAATTTGCAATAAACTTATCCTAATTATGCATTATTTTTGTATATATGCATAATTTTTTTATGTTACGTTTTTTTACAGTTTTTTTTTAATCACAAAGTTTTCTCACATATATTTAAAGGCATACAATGCAGTTTCAGGGCAACAAAACAAAAATTATTTTGGATAAGAAAATATGTCTGATATTGACATTTACTGGGGTCATTTCTTACCACAAGATTTAAGCTAATGCTTGAATTTTTTTTTTTCTCTTATTCCAGAATAACCAGATGAATCAGGGGAATGCTGGTGGAATGGCACAGTCTCCTTTCAACCAGCTCTTGTCCCCAACATCCTCTGGTCCCGGACAGCTCTTGTCCCCGACGTCCTCTGGTCAGCTCTTGTCCCCAGTGTCCACTGGTCCTGGTCAGCTCTTGTCCCCGGTATCTTCTGGTCCTGGTCAGCTCTTGTCCCCAGTGTCTTCAGTACCCCCCAGACCCAACTTTATGCCATCTGCTGTTACATCAAGCAGCAGCCAGATGCAGTCATATGCTGGTAAGTCATGACTCATACATACAGCAATTGGTTTTCATTACAGCATTCAAGCAAGTTCTCATTAAAGGTCCATGTTCAGAGTTAAAACTTTTGATCCAACACAAGAGAATTGGTCTCACCTAGAGCCATTGACACTTGTCACCAGATACATGTACCTTTTCATTCATTCATCCATTCACTCATTCATTCATTTATCTTAAGATAAAACACATCAGGGCTCGAAATCATTTTTGGGAAAAGGTGTACAGGTGCACTCACAAAAACATTTTTTGGAAGACAAAAACAAAATATGTTTCATTGCTAAAGAAAAGTACTTAGTCTAAATGATTTTATTATTTTTCTGACACATACAAATTGTAGTTGTTAAGAATATGCTGTACATTACTACATTTAACATCTTTACATTGTGTAAACCTACAAAAATATTTGGGTGCACTAGACAGGTGCACCCACAAAAAAAAATGGTGCACAGCTCCCAATGTGGGTGCACTAAGGTGCACATGCACATAGTATTTTGAGCCCTGCACATATTTTGTACATGTAACTCCTCTTGTCTGGACCAATCAGGTGGCAGAGCGGGACTGTCCCTCCCGACCAGTGCAGGACTGATGAGTCCCCTGGGGGGACCAGCCAAGAGCCAGTTTGGGGCGGAAGCCCTCAGGGACTCGGGCGGGGCCCTGGGCCCGACGTCTGATTCAGGTAGCTCTCTTGGTGAATCAGGATGCTCACAAAGTGACTTGAAGGTATGCATGTGGTGATCTGGACCATGATTCGCTAATCTCTCCCGCTCCGATTGCACCCTTTTGATGATACTTGTTTAGTCATGAAATGGTTAATGTTTAAAGAGTTGGACTCGGAACCAATAGGTCCCAGGTTCGATACCATGCCCTGACGTTGTGCCTTTGGAAGACTTAAGGCACTTTGCACTACCTTCCTTTCGCTGACAGTGCATGGAGTGAGGCCCATTGAGCCTCTTAGGCTAATCTGTCTAATAAAAGTATTTAATAGACTAAGTAAATGTGTGCAAAAATCACACTATGGATTAGGTGCGCCAGTGTGCCAACATCTGCACATTTGCCACCAAGAGCCGTAAGAAAAAAACTTAGTTATGAAATACTTCAGTCAGCCAACTTTTCATTTTGGTCATGAGGTCTAAAAATGTATGACAAGTCGGCAGGGACCTGATTTTATAGCAGGAGGCATTCACAGTATTTTTACTTCAGAATCAGACTCAATAGCAATAGAAGAAAACTGATAAATTCTTCTAGTATCATCAGAAGGGTGCATTCTGGCCAACAGTCAATTGTTGCATGCTCATTTTTGTCTCAGGCACTTCTGAAACACTACTGCTGCGGGTATGTGTCCATGCATGACCAGGCACTTGTCCGTAGTAGTAGTGGTGTCAGTTGTCCTGATAATTTCATGTATCAGTTTCAGTGTTATTGGACTGTTGGGTTGTTGCCCCCCTCCCCTCGCATGATTTTCTGTGAATCATACTCTAATGATGGTGTACTTGTGGACATGAGTGAGGTTTTTTGCTTTCTCTGTTTATACAATTTTATGTTGTTTTGTGCCACTTCTCTCAACAAATGTAACACCTCAAGAGAGAGAGAAAAAAATATGAGGGATCTTGGAATCATTCAATCATACCAAAAGAGAACAATAAGTCACGTGACAAGAGAACTCCAGGACAAAATTTGACTTTAGCGGGTTGATGTCAGGAGACAGAGTGTGTCTCAAAAGCTCCCCAGTGTAGCAAACTCTTTTTGCTTTGTGCATTGTGGTGGGGTCGTGTGGCGCAGCGGTAGCACGTTCGGCTCAGGACCTAGAGGTCCTGGGTTCGATCCCCACCCATGTCACCGATCTTGAGCCCTTAGGAAAGGCACTTTACACAGCTTTCCTCTTTCACTCAGGTGTAAATGAGTACTACCTAGCTTCGGTTAGGGATGTCCCGCGGATAGGATGTTAAATGAAGGTCCCGTGTTTGGGGAGAGCCACACCCCACACATGTTAAAGAACCCACCACACCTTTCAAAAAAGAGAAGGGGCATGCCCCAGTGTGCGATGGTACAAATTCTACAGTCTGGAGTCTTGCCAAGAATTGGCATGCCAGAATGATCCGTATGATGATCGTGGGCATTAAAGGAAAGACAATTATTTGTCAAAAGTAGGATTTTTGTGTATTGTTACAATTATTTGTCAAAAGAAAGTAGGATTGCATTCCTTCTTCAAAATGCCTCTCTCTCTGATGTCTTACAACTTGTTCTCATGTATTGTTACAGTAACTGTACACGTCTTTTCTATGTTCTTGGTGTGAAATATTCTGGACCTATTGCATCATGAAGGGGACATTATTGTTCCCTTTGCTATGGAAAGTTCTGGTGTATTTTTGTCTCCAATGAGTGACATTGACCTCTAGTGCTCATGAGTTCTGGATCCTTGTGTATTTAGGAGGTGGTAAGAAGCAGTAGTGGTGGAAATGGAGGCAACGATGCAATGAAGGTATGGAATTTTTCATTACTTCACACAATAATTATGTTTTCCATGTAAATCCCCTGTCGTATGTACGTAGTCTCCAAAATACTAGCAGAACTCCCCCCAACCATGCTTAGGAATGCATGTAGCTTGGGAGCTAAGTTGGCTGTGGGTGGATGGTGTCTTTATTCTTTATTTCAGTCATCCATGGCCCATATAAAAGAAAACATATGTCAAATAGAACTAGAAAGGTAACATTTGCAAAGCAAATGCATAATGTTTACCTTCGCATATGTTCTGCTCTGTTAATTCTTACTCAAATACATTCATATATATGGTCATACAGGAGTATAAATCCCTCCTACTATAAAATTGCAACATGGTGTAACCCAACACCAGTTACCATGGTGAGAGACGTCAACAAATTAGGTCATTGGCCAGGTCAGAGGTCAGTGTTTGGAACGGAAGAAGAAACGTAGCCAAAACAATATGTTTTCCTTTGGTAAACATATTAAATATAATACGCATTACATACGCATAGTGGTGCATACCGGTTCACTGGACTTGGATCCGGACTTGTAAAAATGTTTAGGTTCAAGTCCAAAAAAACCTAAAAGTCAAGAACCGAGTCCGGACTTATCACCATAAAAGACCATTTCACATACTCCTTTTCTTTTTAAACCACCTAAAACCTTCCGTAGATTCCAAAATCTTTGCTGCAAAATGAAGAAAACATTGCCATCGGGCATCGTCAAGTACCAGCCTCCATTTTATATGGCCAAAGTTTCACCCAGACAACATTGCAAGGTTGCCAACATGCAATTTTGTATATGCCATGGGTTTAGGTCCGGACTTAAGTCCGGACCTGAACCTAAACCTCTGGACTTGAATCCGGACCTGAACCTGAAATTGGGTTTAGGTATGCATCACTACATACGCATGTAATAATAACAATATAAAAATATGAGTACAGACAGACACAGATGTTGCAGAAGAATCTGTTGCAGAAGGTTGGATTTGAGAACAGATTGGATGAACTTTATGATGATAACAAATTATGAATAATCTTTGCTGTTCTTTTCACAGCAGCAAACCAGCTCTTCGGACAGCGAGAAAGAGAACAGCTTACTGCTGAAACTACTAATGGATTAGCTGTCTGATCTATGGAACAGCACCTAATCCTCTTCATGTGCATTTTATCAACTCTACACCCACATAATGCACAGAATACAAAATATTGCCGCTAGCAATATGTATTAATTAATTGACTAGTTGAATAGTGTCGACATAATTGTTGTAAAGGAAAGAAGTTGAACATACATGCTCTAACTCTTTGTGTAATTATTTTTAATTTCTGATATTGTTTAACAAACTTAAAAGTTAAAAGATGCTGCAGAAAGTTACAAGAGACTAGTGACTTAGGGTCTAACCCTATTGTATTATACAGGCTTAAAAACTACAACTTTCACAGTACAATAATTATTTCCATGTAGATGGAGTGGTGATACTAAAACTTAAAGCATCCATTCAATGTAAAAGACGCACATGTAAAATGTACAGGTACATGTAGGAATGACCTACAGGAAGTGATAGCTTGACCTACAGGAAGTAAAATGAACAAGATGACCTACAGGAACTAAACCTCGGAAGTGAAAATGACTTTATGAAAGACTTGCTTGCTTTGAAACGAAATTGTTAAGTGTGGTTAATTGGAAACTGATGGAAGGAATCAATGTTGGGATAACGAGTCATTCCAACGTTTGATTATGGAAAATGCCTTGTACAAGAATACATTCACTAACTATTATATCAAAACATAATACAGTAATAGCAACGTTGACTAAAGTATAAGCACAATTTACAGATATGACACAGGAAGATTTTAAAAGAAACTTGAATATCATCAACTAAAGGTATTATATGGCAGAACACAGATTTTTTAGCAGGGTCCCCAATTTATGTTTCTTTGTTTTCTAAATTCTAAAACTTTGAGGCCTGCTCTAGATTGGTCTAGTAGAAGGTAACTCAATTATCCTGACATCAAGACTCTTCATTTTAGAATTTCAATGGACTTAACTAAAATGTCAAAACTTATAACATACATATTAGACGAGACCATGAAATCTCGTAGGCTGGGGCCAAATACAAATTTAATGATAACTTCCAAAATAAAATGGTACCAGCTGTAGTAAAAAGTAATCTCTATTTCTATGAAAACATACTATAGAGGTCAATCTCATATAAAACCAA